ATAAAGTTTAAGTGTTAGAGGAGGGGTTCCGGGAAGGCAAAACAATTGAGTGACATTAGCATCGTTGGGGCTTGGTTGTAGTGGCTGTAGTTGGCTTCTTCCCACAGAACATCTGACTTTGAATGAAAGTGTTAACTAACGTTTTCATAGATACCCAAATTTCTGGCAATACGTGTTTATTATTATTTTATACTTGGTAGAGCTTCCTCATACGGCCAGCAGTGAAGGACCACGTCTCAGTTCCGTAAGTCATCACTGGCAACACGCACTGGTTGTACAATTTCGTTTTAAGGTTTTGAGGTATGTCTGACGAGAAGATGTGTCGTAGCTTCCCGAACGCTGCCCAGCCGAGTTGAATCCGTCGATTGACCTCTCGGTCGAAGTTGGACTTACCTAGTCGGACTATTTGTCCCAGGTAAACATACTCGTCAACAACTTCGAGCTTAGTGCTCCCAACAACTACCGGCATAGGTGTGACATGGACATTAAACATAATCTTTGTTTTGTCCATGTTCATCTTAAGACCTATCCGTTGGGAAACACTATTGAGGTCATTGAGCATAGTGCTTAGGCCCTCCAGCGATTCTGCCATAAGGACTATATCGTCGGCAAATCGAAGGTGAGTGATGTACTCGCCATTGATGTTGATACCGTACCCTTTCCAGTCCAGAAGCTTGAAAACGTCTTCCAATGCAGCGGTGAAGAGTTTCGGGGATATGACGTCACCCTGTCTTACACCTCTCTGCAATTGGATAGGTTTCGTACTCTGGTTCTGTACTCGGATAGCCATCGTAGCCCTACTGTACAAGCACTTCAACACTTCGATATACCGACAGTCAACTTGGCACCGCTGAAGGGACTGCAGCACCGCCCAAATTTCGACGGAATCAAAGGCTTTCTCATAGTCCACATACGCCAGACATAGTGGCAAATTGTACTCTTCGGACTTCTGTACAACTTGCCGAAGGGTATGTATGTGGTCTATGGTGCTAAAGCCCTTTCGGAAACCGGCTTGTTCGGGAGGCTGGAAGTCGTCGAGTCTGCGCGCGAGACGATTCGTAATGACTCTCGAAAACAGCACGTAGACGCGGCTCAGAAGGGAAATCGGTCTGTAGTTCTTCAAGAGAGCGTTGTCACCTTTCTTGAAGAACAAGACCACCGCACTTCTGCTCCACGCCTCCGGTGTAATGCCACCATGGAGGACGGAATTAAAGAGCCTCTGAAGGACTTCAAGTACCGGTCTTCCACCCGCTTTCAGAAGCTCCGCTGTAATTCCATCCTCGCCTGGGGCCTTACCGTTTTTAAGGTGCTGGAGAGCCATTCTAATCTCGCTCAGACTGACGTCCGGGATATCTTCGGAATAGTGTCGGATGAGACTCGCTCTTGGATCGTTACTCACACTTGCGTGTGGCTCCAACGATGACGTGTACAGCTGCCCATAGAACCTCTCAATCTCACTCAAAATCTCAGGTGTCCCGGAAACGATGCTGCCACATTCTGTCTTCAGCTTTGACAGTTGGCTCTTTCTGGCAGACAGATCTCTGGCAAAGACTTTGGAGCCTTGGTTCCGCTCTATCGCTTCTTCAATACGAGCTGTATTGAAGTTGCGTAAGTCCCGCCGCATGCATTTTGAGATCTGTCTGTTCAGATGCCTGTATGCTGTCAAGTCTGTTGAAGAATGTAGCTTCATCTCCCGTCTAACAGCCATGAGATTAAGAGTGTGATCGGAGAGTTTTTGTGTTCTTCTGCGGCGGGTCTTGCAGAACTTAGCTCCGACCGCATGGACAGTTTCCACGAGCTTGTCATTCATATCGTCCACTTCATTGCAGTCTTCTAGGCACTGAAAACGGTTTTGTAACTCGAGCTGAAAGGTTTCGGGACTTTGGATTAGAGCACGAGGGGGACGGAGCGTTGACTTCATTAGAGGAGACCTCTCCAACTTAACGTTTAGGTTCAGTGTGCCTCTAACCATTCGGTGATCGCTACCAGTTTTCACCCTTGCGATCACGGAGACATCACTGAACAGTTGTCGTCTGGTCGTCATAATGAAGTCAATCTCATTTTTTGTCGAACCGTCGGGGCTCGACCAGGTCCACTTCCTGTGGGGCCGCTTCTGGAAGAAAGAGTTCATCATAAAGAGTCCCTCTTTCTCCATGAAGTCGGCCAGCTGCTGGCCCCTTGGGTTTCGTTGCCCTATTCCAAATTTCCCTACTTTCAGCTCACCGTTCTCTCTTGTGCCTAGTTTTGCATTGAAGTCTCCCATTAACACCATATATTGGGTTTTGGAGGAATGCATGGCTCTAGAGATATCCTCATACATTTCCTCCACCTCCTGATCGGGGTGTGCCGAGGTTGGTGCGTAAACCTGTATGACCTTCAGCGAATACCGTTTGGTGATTCTGAGTATAAGGTACGCAACCCTCGTCGACACACTCCCGATCTTTACAACATTGTTAACGAGAGACTTGTGGACGATAAATCCGACACCTCCTTGGGACAGATGGTCGCCCTCCCGGTGATAGAGCAAGTTGCCGGATTCGAGGATTACCGTGTCCTCCCCCTCTCTTCGGACTTCGGATAATCCTATAATATGCCAGCGCAACTTGTCTATCTCTTCTTCCAGCTCCACGATCTTCTCGTCAGTCCTCAGGGTGCGTGCGTTGTACGTTGCCAGGTCGAGTCGTCTAAGGTGGCAACCGATGTATGAGGAAGCTCAAGGTCGCTCAGCGAACTATGGAGAGGGCTATGCTCGGAGTTTCTCTGCGTGATAAACTTAGGAATGAGGATATCCGCAGTAGAACCAGAATAACCGACATAGCCCAACGAATTAGTAAGCTGAAGTGGCAGTGGGCCGGCCATATAGCTCGAAGAACCGACAACCGATGGGGAAGAAAGGTTCTCGAGTGGCAGCCTCGTACCGGTAGGCGAAGTGTAGGGCGTCCCCCCACGAGATGGAGTGACGACCTGGTAAGACATGCAGGAAGTCGATGGATGCAGGTGGCTCAGGACCGTGCTTTGTGGCATTCTTTGGGGGAGGCCTATGTTCAGCAGTGGACTTGTGAAGGGCTGTAATGATGATGACTTGGTAGAGCCAAACCAGCTATATTTTGGTTGGCATATGTATGGGTTGTTATGGGCATAGTACAATTAACTTACAGTAGGTGGCGCGCGTATAGTACCGACACCAACACATTTGTAAGTTATAGATTATTCAACATCAATGAATGCATTGTCTTTCCTAATAATATAACTCTACCAAATTTAAAACGATATTACCACAATTATTTCTTCTGCGGCTGCAACGCGCCGGGTACCAGCTAGTATTTTATATAAAAAAGGTGACAACCATAGTTGAATCATTGTATTGATCGAACATAAACAGATAGTCAACTTCATAAAGTTGTGTTGTTGTGCTGCAGTGAGTGTTACGTACGGATAGGCCCAGTGGCGCCAGCCCTTTTGTCGACGATTACTGCTATTATATGATTGAATGTTACTATACATGCCGATTCGAATAAGTTGTGTATAGCACGCTTGGAATAGGGTGATAAGCGAGCGGTAAGTGGTTGCTGTGGCCCATAGACATCTACATTTATTTTCGTTTGCAAATCAAAATGCAAATGCGTTATCAGTCGTGAAGACTTAAATGGAATGCCTATTTTGCAGTAAAAAGGATACGAAACGCAACAGTATTAAGTTGCTATTTTATACTGGTATTCTGCGAGAGCGTGGTCCTTCCCCGGTCGAGCCGAACCATTCGTGCTGCAACTATACAATTAATATAGCGGTAGCATGGCTCTAACACGTTTATAGTCCATAATACATTATACGGTGGCTATGGTTATAGATAGGATGTAATACGGCTCCCTGGCGCAGTGGCTTAGCAATAAGTTGCAGCACCAAGGGCCGCGGGTTCGAATCCCGTACGGAACAAGTATTTGTATGGAATACAAATGATTGTTCCGGGTTTGTTTGTCCTTGTGAAATTTATGTATGTAAACTGTCCCCACGATACAGGCGATAAACCTAGTGTGGAGGTAACGTTTTTTAAGACAAAAAAAATGTATGTAACAGTTAGGATGAGTCCTGCGCAGCTAGTAACTTTCTTAATATTTGGAAGTGATTGCCACGGCTTAAATTTGACAGATCAGAAAATATAATTTATCCTCAATACAAACAACATCAAGTGGTGGCGAATCATCATAGCTTATTCTCCCTTTATGTTATAAAAAAGTAAAAAGGCTCCATACTTTACTAAAACCTTAGATTGTTTAACTTGGAACAGGGGAGTAACTGATATCTAAATAGCTTAATATAGATATTTGCAATTACGTTTTGCAGAAAAAGAAATGTGAGAAGTACTAATGGGGCTCGGCTTACTGAACTTGAATTCTCTGATTAACTGTAGATGTTTCGTGGTTTCAAAAGTGATTTGGTGTAAACTACAATAATATAATTAATAATGATAATAATATAACAAATAAATTCAACGTAAAATACAATAAAAGTTTCACGTTAACCAAATTTCAGGGTCGATACGAAATAAGACGCTTAACTTTTTTAATTATTTTATTATAGGTGCAACATCGATGTTGGATAGTATTTATTAATTTTACATGTATAAGAAGTGTAATATTTATTTGTTTTTTTACAGATACGAAATCACAAACGGCTAAGACTTAATACACTGTGCTCTTTAATTTAAGTATTTAAATACCTCTTTTGAGTGTTTACTTATTTTTAGTCAACTATAGTTGAATTACAAACATTTTACCATTTTTGTAAAATCGGTCTAAGATTTTTAAAAGTTGTTAACTATTGTGACTAGGTTTCACTTAACCAAAGACAGACATTAGTCTGCATATAAATAAATAGTTGATCTACTTTATAAATTTTGTAGTGCCCTTCGTATTAATACAATCAACGAAGTTGTAATACTCAATAAAAATACCTTTAAGGTTTTACACCTTACTCTTACCCAAGCTCTTTTCTTATTTTATTTACTGACTGGATCGTTTCGACGAGCTTGGATGAAAACTTTTTTTTTTCTTGAACTGTGGCTTAGTGTAACGAGAAGGCGGCGTCACCACACTTTCATCGAAGCTTTTCAAACTCACGCTCCTTTGTGAATCGTCGCATTCAGATACTCTTGACGATATTGAATCTAAATTAGAACTAGTTTTTCTAGGCAAGTCAGATTGGTAGGGAATGTCTTTCATTTCAACAATTTCAACATCCGTATCGCTTAAGTCTTTGCTAGGCCTGTGCATCTTGTTTGAATCAGTGTAATATCCAGTAGTTCTTAACGTGCCGCTCATACGTTTAGATTTATCTCTATACAATATTTTTTGTAATTCTTTACGGAATTTGGGATGAGTGATAATATAAATAAAGGGATTTATACATGCAGCAGTTTTACAAAATAGTGCCGGTACCATTGAAGCTATAGGAGTTATGAGATTCTTTTGGCCAAATATACCTAAAAGCGCCACGATTGCGTACGGTGTCCACGATATAAAAAATAGGGCTATTACAATTATTACTAGGAATGCAAGTTTAATCTCTGCTTTGCGTTTCACCTGTTCTTTGACATGTCTCGATGAAAGTTTTTGATCATGATTGTTGGTTCCAGTTGTTGAAATATTTCGTTGACAAACAACCACCTGAAGAATACTTGTATAACAAAATGAAATTGTGCAAAATGGCGCCAACCAAGCGGCACAAAAGAACGTGAAGATGAAATAACGAGCTCCCACTTCTTCAGTTAGATAGTCGAAGCTGCAACTAGTTAGATAACCCTCTGGAACGTAACGCCCATATCCAATATCTAAAGCTGGTATTGCAGAAAATAATGCAGCGTATAACCAGGCTGCAACCGCTAACAAACGAGCGCGAATAGCAGTAAGGGCTCTGAGAGGTTCTAATGGACGTACAACTGCCCAATATCGGTCTAATGCTATTGCAGTTAGTGTTGCGATGGAAGTAGTTCCCGTTAGACCGCCTAGAAAACCGTAGACGACGCAACCTAAAAAAGAAGTGAGACAATGAAACATTAAAAAGAGCTACTACAATAATTAAATTTAAGAATTTAATTTACGGTAAAATTTGTTTATAGTTCTAAGGCTGCGTAAAAGAAATACTTTCGTAGCTTAAATTCTTTAAAGTATATTAAAAAAAAAATATTAGAATTTATAGAAAATAATTTTAATATAGGCAAACATGATTTTTAAAATGTCGTCGTAAGATTAAACGAATGTCAAATTTTCAAAAGTTCTATTTTACAGCATGATTTCTCCTATTTAATAACAATAAAAATGTGCTTTTTGATTATGCGAAACTTACCCGTTTTTCCCAATGCCGGTCCGAGGTTAAAAGAGTTAAAAATAAAAATCGGCGTTTTAGCAAGCATTAAGAAATCGCTGAGAGCAAGGTTGGCGACAAGGATGTTGCCCGGTGTCCGCAGAGCACGACATCTGAAACATAAATAATGATCTCTTTCATCTTTTGCTCGATATCGGAAATGAGTTATTGTAGTGGCGTATTGTATATAACATATGAATTCGTGAACGTTTCTTTTTAACAAATTACATAGTTATTTGTCTTATGTTTATATTGCAGATATATATCAATGTTATATATCAGTATGTTTAACTACTTAATATACAACGGTACTAAATGGGCACTATCCTGTCTTATTTTATTACTTCATATTTTCGGTGTACCTATGGTTTTGGTCGGAAGAGCGAAAATGCTTATTTTTAATTTTATCAACTGCAAGAATCAGTTAGTAAGGTCACATTCTGTTTACTTTCATTTCCTGATAAAGTTATTGTTGAGTTTATCGAACTTTAAAAATCATTGACTTCATTTTTGACGTATTAATAAGTAAATCTTTTGACTAAATAAATTTTGACGGCTCCGTGGCGCAGTGGCTTAGCAATCAGTTGTTGCGCTGGGGGCCGCGGGTTTGAATCCTGCATGGAACAAGTATTTGTATGGCGTACAAATAATTGTTCCGGGTCTGGATGTTTGTCCTTGTGCAATTTATGTTTGTAAACTGCCTCCACGACACAGGAGAAAATCCTAGTGTGGGGGTAACGTTTAAAAAAATCATGCTCTCTTTATTTCTCAACATTGCGAAGATAATGTAGTTGGATGCTTGCTTCTCACAGCAATAAAAAAAACATCAATCACTTGTTTGTAGAATAGAATAGAATATTTTTTTATTCAATATCGATTATTACATAATTCTTATTGAAAGTCATTTTTTATCTACCACTGGTTCGGAAAATACCTCTGTCCTGGGAAGAACCAGCAAGAAACCCAGCGGGACTTTTTTTTCAAACATAATTTCGTTTATACAATTTTTAAATAATTTTTCATAGAACCAGCATGGTGGCGATCACCTTATTCCCAGGGGTTATTTTCATTCATGTATTCCTTGATATTATAATAACCCTTTTTGTACAGTTTTTCTTTAATAAAACTTTTAAACTTGTTTATTGACAAACTTTGAATATGTTCTGGGATTTTGTTGTAAAAGCGTATACATTGCTCCATAAATGAATTACTGATTCTGTGGAGTCTAGTAACTGGTATTACAAGCTTATGTTTGTTCCCAGTGTTTAAAGTATGCACATCCTTATTCTTATTAAAGCTATTTATGTTTTTATGTACATACATTACATTTTCATAAATATATTGCGATGCCAAAGTTAATATGTTTATTACTTTAAATTTTATTCTGAGGGACTCTTTACAATTTAGGTTGTAAATCGCTCTAATCTAGCTGTCTCAACATCTGTGAGACTTCTAATCTTTCTTACAGCATATGCTGCAGAACTAAGTCTGCTTGCTAATTTAGATATATGGGGGCCCCATTGAAGTTTCGCGTCAATAGTAATACCGAGAAAAACAGTGGTATCCACAAGACTCAACTCCTCCCCATCTAACAGCACATTGGTATTCGAATGTTTTACATTAGGTATTGTAAATTTAATACACTTTGTCTTATTGCCGTTTAAGAGCATATTGTTGGCGTTAAACCAATGTACTAATTTCGATAGAGCATTATTTACATCGTCATAATTAATTAACTGCCGTTTGAGTTTGAAAATTAAAGAGGTATCGTCAGCAAATAACACTATATCGTGATTGTCCCCTACAAGATAAGGTAAGTCATTAATATAGATTAAAAACAGGAATGGGCCAAGAATCGAGCCCTGAGGAAGGCCCATTGATACTACCGATCCGGAGGAACCTTTACCATTGATCACGACCTTTTGAGTTCTGTTACTTAAATATGAAGTAATAAGTCTAAGCGCCAAATTTTTTACACCGTAATGTTGTAGTTTACCGATTAATGTCTCATGATGAACACAATTGAAAGCCTTGGAAAGATCACAGAAAATACCTAAGGCATCTTGTGAATTCTCCCAGGCATTAAAATATATTTCATAAGCTCAACACCGGCGTCAGACGTCGAGTGACTCCTTGTAAAACCAAATTGGTTTTTATGAAGTAATTTATTTGTATTCAAAAAAATTAACAAATCCAAAATTATTTTTTCAAAAATTTTACTGAGAGTTGGTAGTACAGAAATAGGTCTAAAATTAGCGGGGTCCAATGTACTACCAGATTTAAATAAAGGTATTACTTTACTATACTTCATTAAATCAGGAAACACACCAGAATCGATACAAGTATTAAAAATAATAGCAAGATGAGGTGCAATTAAATCTATTATGGACGCAATAACTGTCACGGGTAAATCCCCCACAAATCTGCGGTTTTCTTTACATCAATGGTTTTGAAGTATTTTACAATATCTTGCGGTAGTACTTTTTCAAATCGAAATTCTTTTAAACAGGTATTAACATTCTGTTTGAGTAATGACTCGGCGACAGTTGGAGAAGTATTCAATGACTCTGTTGTCAAGATAGGAATATCAGTGAAATATTTCTCAAACACCGCTGCGACTTCTTGATTTGATTTAGTCAATTCATTGTTAATTTTCAATTGATAGTTTGAGTTACGAGGTTTTTCTTTACAGGTTTCGCTGTTAATTATACTCCACGTCATTTTAATTTTATTCTTAGCCGTCTTAATTTTATTGCTAATATATAACGATTTGGCTGTGGAGCAAACATTTTAGAATAATTTTTGACATATTCTTTAAAAAAATTGGAAGGATTATATGATCTTTCATGGTAAAGGTCATATAATCTTTGTCTGCTTTTATGAATTCCTACTGTCGCCCACTCATTAAATGCCTTGCGACTGTTTCTGGAGAATGTTTTACAAGTAAATGTTTTTTAAAATTCATTGCTTATAAGGGTAAATAATTCTCCATATAAATAGTTTGCATTGTTCTTATAAGAAAGCGATGGAAGGTTTTTTACCATATTACTTCTAAATCTTTCCAGGCGTTTTGCCTTAATAGGAACAAACACAATTTTCTCAATTTCCTGTTTTTTGTGCATATAAGGTAAAAAAACCAGTTGTCCACAGTGATCTGAACTAAGTTTTTGAATTATTGATTTGTTGATTGGTACAACACCTGTAAAAATATTATCAATACAAGTTTCACTCCACCCTGCAATACGTGTAGCTTCAAAGAATAAATTATCAAGATTATAGGATTTGAACAAAGAGCAAAATTTAATACTGATGGAAGAAGTTTCCAGGAGACCGATATTAAAGTCTCCACACACTACAAGAGATTTATTCTGTTTATTAAGCTTAACTAAAACTTCTTCCATAATTTTTTCAAAGGTCTCATAATTTGAACATGGGGGTCTGTAAACACTGACAACAATAAGGTGCTCAAGCACCTTATTGTTGTCAGTGCGGAACAAACAAACAGACAGACAGACAGACATTTTAAAAATTGTATTTTAGCTGTAAGTACCGTATTTACTTTCATATGCATTTAGTAAAAAACTGTAATTTTGATGTTACAAACAGACACTTCAATTTTATTTATTTGTATAGAAGATAATATTAATTGAGGAAGTTTTAAAAGAAATACAAAGAAAACAGGGTCTTTAACACAAATTTGTTATTCATTTTAATAAATAATGTCGTAAAAGAAAAATAAATACACTTATAATTTTTGCCATGTGATTATCGTACGAGAGTAAAAGTAACTTTGTTGTAAAGGTTTAAATGTGCTAGAAAAAATAGAAATTAAATCAGATGTGATTATTGAACATGCCAGAAGATACACACGACGATAAAAATATAAGATGAGGATCAACGTAACGTGCTCTGTGAACACCTAATATTACAATATTACAAAAGTTCACAACTAAACAAAGGCCTCCCTCATAGATTGTTTCAAAGGGGCGCAACTCCCTATCATAGTGAGGCAGAGATAATATTCCCTTCGAATTTGTGAGTGAGAATGAGAGAGGGTGAGAGTGACAGATAATAGATAGACAGATAATAGATAGACAGATAATACTCACTACGAATTTGCATGCCATAACATAAAGTTACCACAGCTAGTTAGATAGCTAGATAATATTCCCTTCGAATTTGTGAGTGAGAATGAGAGAGGGTGAGAGTGACAGATAATAGATAGACAGATAATACTCACTACGAATTTGCATGCCATAACATAAAGTTACCACAGCTAGTTAGATAGCTAGATAATATTCTTTCGAATTTGTGAGTGAGAATGAGAGAGGGTGAGAGTGACAGATAATAGATAGACAGATAATACTCACTACGAATTTGCATACCATAACATAAAGTTACCACAGCTAGTTAGATAGCTAGATAATATTCCTTCGAATTTGTGAGTGAGAATGAGAGAGGGTGAGAGTGACAGATAATAGATAGACAGATAATACTCACTACGAATTTGCATGCCATAACATAAAGTTACCACAGCTAGTTTAGGGTGAAGATGTGAAGTAAAAAATATTCTATCAAAATGATAAAAAAGAAATAAATATTATATTAGTCGATAAAAGCCGGTGTAGTGGCGGGTAAGAATATTCTAGTAGTGGATATCCACTACCTCATATTTTCCCCTGGATGTCGTAAGAGGCGACAGAGGCAGACTGAGGCAGAAAATGGGTAGGAGCATCTTTCAGATAACAGCAAAATTACAATAAAAAAATTTCGGTTGCCAATCCTCTCGCCAAGCGTGGCAATTATGGCAAGCCCATTGCGAGAGTTACAAAGAGACGGCGCGCAGTTCCCGGCGGCCCCACTATTCCTGACTATGGTGGCGACCAAGGTATCAGCGGCGCAGGGGGTGCCAAAAATCTGCGGTGGAGGTTCAGTTGCAACCTAAGACGGGTACGACCTGGCAACATATAACACACACACCCTCAGGATTGACGATAAGAACCTGGAACTGGAAGAAGAGACAGAAAAGTTGGATATTATAGGATTATCTGAGGTCCGAAGAGAGGGGAAAGACATGGTAATCCTCGAATCCGGCAACTTGTTCTATCACCGG